CCTGTGTGTGTACCATCACGATGACGTTTCTATACATGTCTCGTGGTTATACACCCCATTTATTGCGACATCTAGGGGACGTTCCACGCTGACATAACCATATTATCGTGTTTCCTTGATAAGCGATGTAACATAGGGACGTTTCCAGGAATGTTTCCAAATACTTAAAAAATGTGTTTATATAATTCAAGCCGCAATAAATAGATAATTCGTTTATGGTGACTAATTCTCTACTTGAATGCAATATATGTGAATAATATAGGTGTTCAGAAATGGGTTTGAAGAAATCAGACAGCAATACAAAATTCCATGCACATTTTACGCAGTTAAATCAGATGGTTTTTATATTCGTATAGTTCAATATACAATAAGTGTTTTCAAATTATTTATTGTTGGAGACCATGAAGCTGATTCTATGTGTATTTATGTATTATAATATCTTGAAGCTGACAACTGTCAATTCAATAATGACAATATGCATAACACTATGACTATTGATAGATGATTGATATGACATAACCTTATTTTGTATATTAATAATATTATTAATTCTTATTGACCTCGTACTAAGATTTGAATTGTTTCAATGCTATAATATCTCATAACTCGCAGCTGTCACAGTTAACATGCATAGCACAATGGCTATTAATAGAATGAAAATACGACTTAACTTCAGTGTTTGAAATAACCGCCCTCTCATACGCTCGAAACGGATAACTTTCCAGTCAGTTTTTATAGTTTAGTATTTTGATATAATAATATCCAAATGCAATTTTTCACAATACATTTTAATGTAATCTGTGATCTGTTTTTACATTATCTGTATCATCGTAGATGAATGGTAAGGTACTGAGCGAACAATGACTGTCTGTTGTTATTGTTGTTATTGACCCCACCGTACAACTTGTTTTGGTTTCAATAACTCGAACAGTTTTTATCAAATATCTTTAAAACTTGAATATTATATTAACCAGTTTGGGATGTCGGCCAAGTTCACTTATAATACATGTTCTATGTATATTTCTCTCAAGTTATTCATTAAATTTTATTTCACTTAAATATATTACTGCACTATTATTTGAGAACGTTTTATTTTACACTTCACGCTATATTATTTGTTAAGGTTCATTAAGATTAATATTAAATATTATTTGGGGATCACATTGGCTAGTAATTTTCTTGCAAAATTTTTTTGGAACTTTTATGCAATTCGTGTTATATTATTCCATAAGCGACATTGAGATTAATACAGTGCATGTAGCATTATTAATTAATGTGTTTATGTATATATGAAATCAGTATTTTCCATGCAAAATGCTTAGATAATATATTATTGCATTGTTTCAGAACAGATATTGCATCGTTCGTATCCAATAATACATGTGTTATTTAATTTGTTTTCAACGAACATAGTAGGAGGAGCAGATCATCAGAAAACACTAAAATGGACTATCTATTCAAGAATTTTAATGTTGATGTCATTATTATGAATATTAAATGCACTGTCATGGTCGTTAGACGTGACAGCGAGCAGGAGGCAATCATGGTAACATTTCTGGGAGAAATCTGCGTATTTAAAGTAACTAATCACTGAGCAAAGAAAAAAAACAAAAAATGTATATGCAAAGTACAGCATTATTAATACTAAAGTTCATTTCAATTGAGGTGGATATATAGATTTTGCTGTTGGCGTGAACATTATTATTATACCTCACAAATAATAAAACTATCATATTTGACACCCACAGAGGGCGCCCTCGTAGAGCTGAATGATTTGCTCCTGAGATTGCACAAATTTCTAATTTAAACAAGTAACCTGTAGAATACTGTGTGGGTAATATTTTTTATATCGATTTTTGTTGCATTTGCAGCACATAGTTACCAAACAATGAGAAATCTATAGGATTGAATATACCCCACAGCTGGCTTCACATGCATTGTTCATAGTTCGTATGGTGCTTACACCAGGATTTAATTACAGCACCTAGGCGGTATGTGGTTACAGCTTAATGTTCCGAGTAATCGCAAGAAATTGACATGACAATAGAAAACAATTAAAGACTGACACTCCCATGCAATTAACAGCGAGTGAAATTCCTGGGATTGAAACATATATTTTAACGAATAACTGCAAGTTGACATAAAGACGAGGTAGTTTATTTAATCAGTGGTCAACTAGAGGCTGAAATTATAATTAATTTGTTTAATATTTCAATTTCTCCTGACGTCAAATAGAATACACTGGTGAAACACGGTAGTAACTGTGGGTGAAAGGATGTTTTGGGGTGTAGTTTACATTGTATATGGAGTGGTAGGGACGGGTGTAATGTGTTCATTTCCAACTATTATGAAGTCACGTAGAATTTCACTTAAGGTAGCGAGAAGGTTTTGTGACGTTTTTATATAAAACATTCTCTGTCTGTTGTCTCGTTCAGAACAGTAATTTAGGTTATATATATCAAAAGACTAAGTATAGAGGTGCAAGTTCGCACAAACTGGACAGACATTGTTTACACAATTATCACGTGACATCAAAAATGGCGAACCTTGTAAAAATGACTAAGTACGCGATTGCGAGAGCACACTGTGGAATTTCCTGGTGAAATTTAAGTTATGCATT